CTCCCTTCCCTCCCCCCACTTATTTATTCATTTGTTTATCTGTTTATTTCTACTCCGGCCTTTGGCCCCTATGGGCAGAGCCTGTGTGCTCGCAAATTGCAAGTAATTTGCTGGCTCCAGGTTAAGTTTGCGCTTTCCCTCTCCCCCGAGGGGGCTTTATTAGGAATCGGGCCCACATCAAAGTGCCACACTCACCCTTGGAGAAGGAATTCCGTTTAGAACTTTCCCATTAACAGCCTCTGGATTCACTTGGGGGGCTCACGAACTCTGGCTGTCAGAAACTCGGGTTTTAGAACAAAACCACACTTTTTTAAAAAGTTCCCAGCCTGGAGGTAATAAGCTCAGTCACCGCCTCGGTGAAGGCGCCCAGGAATTGAAAACCTACAGGCAGGGTCCTTCTTCCTTTCCAGCCAAGTCCCCCGTTAAAGGTTCCAGTTGGTGGGGACGCTGTCCCCCACCCCCACCCCCCAGGCACGTGGAGTCTGGGGGAAGAGCAGCAGGAGCAGGAAGGGGAGACTCCAGGATACTGGGGCTCCTGACCTACCTCTCGGACCCCCCAGCTCGGAAGGAGTAGGGGCCAGGCCACTGACCGGGACTCACCAACCCTGGCTCCCAGTGTAATCACCAGACCGGATACGCAAACTGGTCAAGTGGAGCCTGGAGCAAGTGACCTGAATTTGGAGGGAGGCTTGTCCTGCAGGGCATCTGCCACTTCTGCCTCCAGTCTCCACAAGGACAGTTTCTCCTGGTACTAGAGAAAGCTTGTGGCGACTTCTGGTCCCCTTGTCTTCCCTTCTACCTGGTGGCCTCCCCTCACTCCCCCTAAGCCAGAGAGTTCTGAAGGGGTGCTGACTGCAGCCACCCTGTCCAGTCTCCAGGGCCCGGGGTGGGGCAGGGGTCCCGGACAGGACAGCCCTGGCTTCGGCCCAGCCCAGCCACTGTGGGGTCCTGAGTTTCTCCCTGACTTGTAGGGTAGCCCCCAAAGATTAGCTGTGGGTGCTGTGGCCCTGCCCCTAGACCTCNATCTCCACGAGGCCCTGGCTTCGGCCCAGCCCAGCCACTGTGGGGTCCTGAGTTTCTCCCTGACTTGTAGGGTAGCCCCCAAAGATTAGCTGTGGGTGCTGTGGCCCTGCCCCTAGACCTCTGGGACCCGCCTATTTGTCTGTGTGGTGATTCCCTTTCATCGGAGGCTGCAGGTGAGGGGGGAGGGGTGCTCACGAAGGGAGGGGTACTGAACCTCCCAGGCCAGAGGTTCACCGCCCGGGCCATGTGCAGATAAATGGTGGTTATTACCATGATTCTGAAAGGGGCTCCCCCAGCTACCCTCCATGGAGCCCCCAGCGTGCCAGGTACTTTACACACCGAATCCCCACACCTGCAACCCTAGGACACAGATATCAAAACCATACAGATGAGGGAAGAAGGCCTGGGAGGTCTAGTAACTTCTCTTAAGGTCACACAGCCCACAAAGGGAAGAACCAGGACTCACCCCCACTGCACCCGACTCCAGCACCCAACCTCCTGCCCACTGAGCAACACTGCCTTCCTGCCGAGCATGGGTGAGTCTGCCTGGGCTCACCTCCCTCCCAGGCAGCAGTCTGCACAGAGTCAGGGTTACAGGGGGGTTTCGGTCACCCAGACCCGGTGGGCTCACCCGTCATCCCGCCTGCACTCCTGGTCGCCTGGGAGTGGCTGCTGGGAGCACCCTGCTTGCTAAGGAGGGTGCTGAGCAGCCTGGTTGATTAGTTTGGGGCGCCATGAGCTCAGGAAAGGGGTTCTGACAAGTAAGCAAACATTTGTGAATCCTGAGCCTGGGTCCGTAGACACAGAGAGGAGGGTGACTTGGTCAAGGGCACGGGGAGGGTTCTGGACCAAGCCAGGGAGGGGACACGGCTTCACTCCCGCTCAGGGCTCTTTCCATCGCCCCGCACCTGGGCCCAGCCACGTTCATTGGCAAGTTCCACAGCGGCCGAGGAAGCACATTTGAAGAAAGCCACGTTCAGTTCTGACTCCTTCAAGTAAACAAATGAGTGGCGAGCTGGCATTGCCAGGTCGCGAACCCTTGGCCAGGGCCTCGGCGGTGGTGGGAGAACCGATCCGACCTCCGTATTTAAAATGACAATATTCCAATTCCTGCACGGAAACGCCTCACGGCTAAGTAACGTTGGCGAGGCAAGTGTGCACCCGAGAGAGCGATTATTTTTAAGACTATCTACCCTGAGAAAACTTTTTCAAAAAACTTAATTAT